AAGCAAGCCGCGACTGGGGAACTACGACTACTACTACTACTACTACTACTACTACTACTACTACTACTACTACTACTACTACGACTACGACTACGACTACGACGACGACTACTACTACTACTACTACTACTACTACTACTACTACGACTACTATTACTATTACTAATACTACTTCTACGTAGAATACGACTGCTACTACTGCTTCGACTACTACTGCTTCTACTGCTTCTACTACTACTACTACTACTACTACTACTACTGCTGCTGCTACTTTGACACCAACAACTCCTACTGCTACTACGATTACTACTATTACTATTTACTACTATTACTATCATTATTTCTACTAGTACTATTACTACTACTACTACTACTACTACTACTACTACTGCCCCTACTACTACTACTACTACTACTACTATTACTACTACTACGACTACTACTACTACTACTACTACTAATATAACTACTACTACGACTACCACTACTACTATTACCACGACTACTACTACTACTACGACTACTACTACTACTACTACTACTACTGCTACTACTACTACTACTACTACGACTACTACTACTACTACTACTACTACTACTACTGCTGCTGCTGCTGCTGCTGCTGCTGCTGCGACGACAACGACTACTATGTTTATGATCACGATTCGTATTACTACTGCTACTACTGCTGCTGCTGCTGCTACTACTACTACTACGACTACTACGAGTTGTCTTTTTATTACTATGACTACTTCTGTTACTACTACTACTACTACTACCACTACTACTACTACTACTACTACTACTACTACTACTACTACTACTATTACTACTACTACTACTACTATTACTATTGTTATTACTACTACTACTACTACTACTACTACTACTACTGCGACGACGACGACGACTACTACTACTTCAACTATCACTATCACCATCACAATTACTATCATTGTGCTTGGGTCGTTGGAGGGCCCTCTTGAGCCGTAGTGGGGTCCTCTTGGATGCCTCTTGGGCAGTTTTTTGGTGATCTTGGTGACATCTTTGGCCGTCCTGGCGCGTCGGGAAACCGAGAAGGCGAGAACTCCAACATCTTAAACAACTAGCAGAAACTCCATGATATCTGCCTCTTCGGTTCCTCCTGGGAGGCCTCCTGGAGGCCTCTTCTGGTGGCTTGGGTGCAATCTTGGCAGTCGTGAGGCAGCCTTGGGCGTCTTGGAGCGATCTTCCCGCGACCTGGGGCATTCTTGGACCGTCTTGGGAGCCTATTTGACCCTTGTTGGGTCCAGAAGAGTTATGCGACAAGCCGCGACGGGCCCCACGGCAATCGCGCCAGGCTCAAGAAGATTTGAGTTTGGAGGCCCGGGGCCCTGAAAGATTTCTGATGACTGACGGTTGAGGCTTAGGGATGAGGCAAAAGACTTGAAGACGCGCCCACTCCATGCCCGATTGCACGGTGGCGGACGTACAGTCAGATGTTGGTAGATGCCCACATGTTACGCATCTCGTTTCTTTGTCATGTTTGTAGAGGTACAGACCTTGCACAAGCATGTGCGCGTGTGAATACTGGCACGTGAGTGTTCTATATATATATATATATATGCATGTAGAGTGGGAAAGCACGCGAGAGAGAGAGAGAAAGAAAGCGAGAAAAAGAAAGAGATAGAGAGAGAGAGAGAGAGAGAAAAAGAACACACAAACACAATGAGAGGGAAGGGAAGAGAGAAAGGGGGGATAATGCGGAGACATGAGGGGGTGGGGGACGGCAGAGGGAGGCCCGCAGCGCGTCCTCTCGGGGTTCGCGAGGCGATGGAGGTCGCCCACAGGGCCAACGTGACGCAGGTAGGCCCACCCCTGGACCGCGGCGAAAGGTGTCGGCCGATCATCGTCGTCCTGTTCCTCGTCGTCGTCGTCGTCGTCGTCGTCGTCGTCGTCGTCGTCGTCGTCCCCCCCCCGATATGGATGCGTCCAAGAGAGGGTGATGACAGATGAGGGTTGGGGTTATATCATAGCCGGGGCCGTTAAGCCTCCCCGGATTTCGCGACCCTCGTCTTTTTTCAATACGTTTCGTGGTCCCCCCCCCCTTCGTCCGCGCACATGGCACCGGCGGTGCCAGGGCTCGTTTCGATTCCTCCGATTCGATTCGATTCGACTTCGGTGGCTTCCGATTTCGATCCGGTTCGACTTGGGATTCCGATTCGGGATCCGATCTCTCAACGGAGGCATACTAAGCCTGCCGATGTCCGCCGGTTCGGCTCCTCCCGACTCAGCTGCAGATTTCCGCCGATCCGATTCATTTCGACTGCCGATCCAAATTTATCGATTCGGTTCCGGAGCCCCCTGCGGTGCTAGGAGAAGGTCGGGCCTGTGGCCTGTCCCCCTACAGGGGGAATTAGGACGAAAAATCTAACATACGAACAACAGATTCCCAAAATGTTCAAAAACAGTCCAGAGATAGGCCCCTGATCAATTTTTTCCTATTTTTGAATGTTCCCCCTGTAGAGGGACAGGCCTGATTTCATGCTAGGAGGTCGGCCGGCGTGCGGGCACCTTCGCGAGCGGGTCCCGCGGGAGACTCTGGACGCCCGAAGTGGGTACGGGAAGAATGGGTGCAATGCCCAACAGCAGTTCCTATTCCTTTGGAGCAGGGCTCGCTGTCCGCGCCGCCGCGGCCTGTGTCCATTCGAGACAGAAGGCCGCCTGCCCAACAGCGGCCGCTGTTGTCGGGGGAGCGTAAGACCCGGGTTTGCCAGGACTCGGATTCGCCATTTTTTTGACGACCGCGACTCGGATTTTGACGAGGAGGAGTTTCGTGGGATGTCTGCAGCGGGAGGCCTCGTCAAAATGCAGGCTCGGCCTCGTCATTTTTTTGACGACCTCGTCGGGGATTTCCGAGTCCCCCGTACCCGGGTCTTAC